AATCTCCTTACTTAGTGAGTAAATGTTGTAGAGGGAATACATTGAGGTAACCCTGGTTGGACTCTTCCAGTTTATTCACTGGGTTTTTAATTTGGTAGACCCATATGTCTATGAGTAGGGAACTAAGCCTGTTAAGAGGAACTACTGATAGATGTTTAAGAACAAGATTCATTATAAAAGCCTGCATTTCTGAGCTTCTCTCTTCATTATGGTTTTTCCCTACAGTAAGTAGGCTGAACAAGAGAATGTGAAAGTGTTCTAGTCTATCAGAGGAAAACAAAGCAGGGATAAATAGCAGAATAGAGAAGGAGACCTTTGTCTACTGTCAGTATTTCTGATGGTCCTACTGGTCAAAATAAAACATATGAAGTCAGTGCTCCTGGAGCTGCATCTCCAATAGATAGTTTCTACAAAAGTAAGTTGCATGAATATTTTTAAAAATACAAACAGCAGTCACGGATTCCCCACAGATCAGGAATGGGCAATATAGAGGAGTTTAATTCTTTATTGTGCCTGAAGTACTGCTCTGGATTATGCTCTCCAAATTCTCCACTGGAGAAAATAGTTTTCATTGGTATAAATGGCATTCTCCTGCCTCCATGCAGATAGCAGATGTGGGAGGACTGATCTGGAACTTGAATGCCATAGGGGCCAAGGTTTTTTTTTTTCCCCCGATCAATCAGAGTACTTGGTTCTTTAAAAAAATCAGTTTGTGAATTTGCAGATTGTGTTAATGGCTTCTTTTTGTTTTGAAACATGATACAATAAAAAAATACCAGTACATACTGTAGTATGGAAACAATAAGCATAGCAACAAAGAAAAAAGAAAAAAATCTCTGGAAATTATGTTATGTATTCCATAAACATTGATTGTATTTCTTGAAATTTGTCTTCTTTGCTCCTTTGTTGAAAAAAGACAAATTGAAATATTGACAAGCAACACATATCAACAATCCCAGTGCTGCCAATCAAGTGTAGATTTCATGTCACTTGTACAATTATTCTTTTAGCCAAATCCATGCCTCCAAAACCTACAATTCATAGCATCTTGATAAATTTCAAAACTGTGGATATAGCTAAGAGGAATACACGCATCCTTCAAATAACAGTTGATCCATAGTCATAGTAAGAAGCCTGCCAATATTAGTCCAAAACATGATAATAATAGGACAAGACTAAACCAGATGAGTTAATGTTCCTATTCTTGAGTTAGATCTCTAGCAGCAAGGGAGCTATAGTAAAACTAATACTTATGAAGCATTCCCTGAGATATCCATTATATTTTAAACACTTCTATTGTTATATTAACTTCATGTTAAGATCCTAGGAAACGTATTTCATGTTGTATGACGTAACCCTTCATTGCTTTATCAGAACAGGATATTCAAGCTTGTTATTCCAAAGATCAGGCAAATCATATCAATTTCATCAATTTCCTTCAACTTTCTATAAAGGTGTTACTGGCTTAGGAACTACAGAATCTCCAACTATTTCAGAAGGGCAATAGCATCTGGATCAAATAAACCAAATAACAGATTGAATAAACTGCCATGAAGCACTTGAGGTAAATCAAATGCGTGTTTTAATTCTTAAACATTTTAAAAACAGTTTCATCTGAGCTGAATCGATCCTAAGTAATCATGTTAAGAGGGGTCCTGTTTATCCCCAAACATATTTAGATGCTATTTTTAAACTGTGATTCTCCCAGCAGCTAAATTTTTCATGGGTAAATGGGTCACACTTATATTTGTGACTCAGTATTTTCCATATAAGTCTATCATCATTAAGTGTGGGTACTGAAACTGACCTTAACTTAACAAAGGAGGCTGGTATTTGCTAGGATATTATATTTATTATTTATTTATATGTTACATTTATATAGCTGCCCATCTCACACAAAGTGACTCTGGGCGGCGTATAACAATTAAATAAAATAACAAATGGATAAAAACAATCATGAAAAGATAAAAAGTGATTATTAAAATGAAAACTACCAAAAATTAAAAAAAATTAAATTTTAAAATATACAAACTCCACAGAGAGAGCAGAATATAAATCATAGTGGAGCCATCTAAGAATGTTTCTGGTTCCCAAAGACCCCCAGGCCTGATCTTGAGGGACTTCCTAAATGATAGCAAGGAAGGGGTGAGCCTCACTTCAGGAGGGAGAATGTTCCACAAGGAGAGAGCCACAGTGGAGAAGGCCCACCTCCTGGGACCCACCAAATGCAAGTCCCTGGCCGATGGACCATGTAATATACCTTCCCTGTCAGATCTAATGGGACGGGGTGATGTAATGTAAATGGGGAGAGATGGTCCCTCAGATAACCTTGATAACAGGATATCAATAGGATCAGGTAATAATACTGACTAACAAGCTGAGCCCAAGAAGGGAACTAAAAGTTGATTTTCCTTATTCCAAACAGTAAGCAAAGTGAGGATAAATGCTCTGGATAAACCCTTAAAAGTATGGAATGTAAAATCTACCTTTCTTGACAGAAAACTGTAATTTACACAGCGAAAATCTTCCAAAGAAATTTATTCCATATCTTGCATGTTCATTTAAAGTAATGTGATTAATAAATAAAATAATATAATTAATGTCCTCTCATACTATATATCAACCTTGGAGTTATATCCATCTTAATTGCATTCATTTTATCCCATACTCGATACTCAAGGGAATTCTAGACCCTGTCTTCTTTCCCCTGCATTAAAACAAGGGGAAGGTTCAGAGTTAACAGCTGGGAAGTGGTGTTACTGGCTCTTAGTGTATTTTGGCACGGGATGAAGAGGAAAAGAGTAGTGTCTTTACTGAAAAGCACGTCATGCTTACATCACTAACAGGAACTTCCGAAAAAGGATCTCCTTATGCATCACTCCTATGTAAACAAATTATACCACAAGACTAATAAAAAAGATACTTCAGTACTTTACTTACTTTGTTGCTGGGTCATCATAAGACGCAACAAGTACAAGAGTGCCTTGGTCAGCCGCTTTCATAAAATTCAGTAAATTGTTAACATCTTATGGAGAAATAATAATAAAAAAAAAAGTTTGTAATTTACATATTGTGCCATCTGGTGAACTCCCAAGTTATAGACAATACAATTAACAAAGGAGAACATGCTGTTTCTTAACAAATAATGTAACACACCAAAAGAAAATAAATCAAACAAATGCTATAAGTTAGCTTTCCAGTTGGCTGTGTCGTATAGAATTCTAGAAGTTGCATCTGGAGAAGGGTTCTATCTTGAGAAGCCAGCCAGAAATATAGTAGTTGAATTTTGAACAAATAAAAGCTTTCAAACCCTATCCAAGGGTAATCCCACAGACTGGTTCAGCCTGCTTTGCTTCCTCTGAATCCCTATGAGATTGGAAATAGGTACAATAGACTACAATAACTATAGAAATACAACCTGGAGGTTATCCATTAATGAGTCTTACCCTGCACTCAGAAGTTACAAGGGACTTCAGAAGAAATATAATTAATATTAACAAATAATGTATGCTAACCATCTCAACAATTTCTTTGCTTAATGGAAACTCTCCTGTACTTGCAATCCTCTCTCATCCTCTGTGTTGCACTATTAATACATAACAAATTCACGTACCTCCAGAATACATGTCAAAGCTATCTATTTTGATGAGTTGTCCTGTGGTTCCTAGAGATTGAAGTGAAACACAGGTTTTAATTAAACATGTTTATAAAGTACATGCACTTAGTTCAATCTCTGGAGCAATGGAAAAGTGAAATAAAATTGTCAAAGGTTAAATTAATTGGTTATCAAAAGTGGAACATGTTTTCAATATAGGTAAAGGTACACGATACAGTAAGAAATATCCCCCCCCTCCCCGCATTGCGTGCATTCAGCTCTTTTGCCCTGTTGCTAAAAGTGCTAAAAACAGGTTTTGTACTTTTTCTTGGAGCCTGGCCAAAGTCTACAAAATGGGTACAGAGAATTTCAAGAGAAATGAGTATTCAAAATATGAGGAACTATAGGATGAAGAACAATGATAATTTTTCCAGAATGTTGAAACTACTGATAAGAAGGGCTGCTTCTTATGAGGCATAACATTTTTCTGCTTTTGCTTCTGATTGAGGGATCTTGAGGATTTTTGACACAGTACTAGCAGTGACACTGAACCCCAAAGAAGGCAAATATATACGTCTGAAAGTGTTGCCGCTTTTTTTGACAGTATTTGAATCTTCCAGTTATCTGAATAGAACTATGTATCCCACAAATTACGTTGCATAAAAGTAACCCAATTAGCAAATAATGCCAAACGTCATGTCATTTGTAAGAAGTTCTGGTAAATATCTAATAATATTAATTATTGCTACAGTTGCGCCTATGGAAACTCGCTGTAAGATCTAAAAAGGAGGCTGTAGGATTTCTTCCTTTTCAAAATGTGTTGGTGAAATGGATAATTGTTTGTCAAATGTCATCCTCCAGCCCCCAAGGCCCTACCTCTTTTCTAGCCCCCTTCCGTGGCTTCAGAGCCCCCTCCAAATTGTTATAGTGTGAATGCTGAAAAACAGCAAGTGGGTTTCCATCTCTCTGAGGTGAGAAATACTTTAAACGTTTGTTCTAAGTCCTGAAATAGATTTCCTACAGTTCAGAAACAAAGAGAAAGCACAGTCTTACTGCCCCTCCTAAGAAATGGGAAAAGGAACAAAATATCCAAGCAGGCCCACACAGTGTGTGTCATTCCCCATCTACTGTGGCCTTTGCCCTTACTCAAAATGAATGCCACGCACAGCCTCAGACCAGCTGAAGACTGCAAACCTCTTCTACTGAATTTTGCATCAGCCTACTCGGAAAAAAGTTGTATGGCAAACAACAAAAGCATAGCATTCTTCTATAAGCCCACTTTTGCATTGCAGTGACTACTTGAGATACTACTAAATGGTAGGTATAAATAAAGCTGGTGACATATTTGTGGTTAGCTCATTATCAGAACTGCGCATAGCACAGGCACCTTTGCTGCCAACTAAAGACTCCGATTTCCTTCCTGATCCATAGACAAGATGGTACACCTGGTGATAATACTACAGTGAATACAGTTCCATAGTGTGTACATCAGGCACATCATGTACATCCAGATATATATATTTTAGACATCAATATTGAGTTCATATAACACACTTAAACCTAAACCAAATCAGTTGCTGACTCAGTGGCTGCATAGAAAGCTTGGTTTATGTATGCATGTATGCATGTATATATGTATGTATTTATCGTGCATACCCATGTAGTATTTAGTTATGGAATCCTTGGTGTTCTCTGAGCTTAGTTGTTTTCTTGCAAACGTTTCGTTACCCAGCTAGGTAACATCTTCAGTGCTAGAATGGAG